CTCGAGAAGGAGCCTAAAAATTAAGCCTAAATCTTAAGAATTTTTTCATCTGATCATGAGATATTTTTCTGGTATTTTTTATTAAATAGATTCAGTTACACAGATTCAGTTACATTTGCTTCTGATTATTAGATATTTTTAGTTTGTCATAAGTGGGATTGTCTTCAAAAAGGTTGCACACCCATGATGAAGAACACTGATGTTTTCTATAGTAAAGGAAAAACTGCAGTCCACACACACACACACACATATATATAAGTCCATTCCTAAGAAAATTGACTTTGCATCTGTGATTTTTTCAAGGTACTGAATAGAACAAGGCTAACTCCAAAAGAAAAGAGAGATTGTGAATTGTTTTACTTGAAGTCCTTCAGTGAGGATTATTACAGCAGTGGTGGTACAGAAGACGCAAGTGCCTCACGTCTCTCCCAGGAGTTTACCCTCAAACATCCAACTTACCTGAAATTAGTGGAAGGTAAGCAAATGAAGACAGATGCAGACAGCTACAAGTAGAAACAAGCAGAGGGGAGAGCTATAATCCTTGCATTCCTTGTTTGTGATATCGAGGGAGGACAGATATGTCACTCCATCCGTGTCATTTAACTTCCTTAAATATGTTTTCATGCAGAAGTATTTGCATTCCCTGGCTTGCTTTGAGATGTGCGAATCTGAATAATTTTTTTTATAAGTGAAACTTCTTAAAGATACAGTGTACATTTACTGGTAGGTGTCGGGTTTTGTGGTTTCATGCTATTGCCACCTTTTTCTTCTAAGCTCAAGAAACCACCACTTGATTAGTTTTTCTTTTTTCAGGGTGGGGGTTACCTTTTCAAAATAAAGATTTTTTCAGAGGAGGGTAAATTCAGTTAAACCACTATAAGTGATTATATGTTACATTTTAATTTTATAATTTAAGTCTACTTGACCATCTTTTTGGAATTACCCAAAAAAATAAGAAAGTAATAAAAATCAGTTTTATTGGATTGTGTTGTAATTTTGTATAAATTTACATAGGAATGGCCTCATTGCATTTATAAAATGCAGTGGTGAAGAGATATGTTTTCCACTTTTTGTTATTGTAATTTTTTCTCATAAGAGGAAGTGAAAAAGCAATTTTATTTTTACTGAAAGTCACAATTTTGAACTAATATACAAAGAATACAAGCTCAGAAAGGCCATAGTGAAATGGGTCAGTACTAACAGCTAGATTGTGATCAATCTCATCTCCACTGGTGAGGAATGCTGACTTGCCGTGTGCCCAGTAGCATAATTCAATTGCAAGCCTAAAACCTGTTTGCACTCTTGAACTGTGTGGTCACATCTATCTTCTCCCAATTTTTATAGTTTATTGCATGTCAACATCCTACATAACTTGCAGTTACCACCCTCTTGGAGGGTGATTAGACTCATTTGGGAATTTGGAAGTTGCTTTTCCTTTATATCCAGTGATAACCAAGTGTGCAATGTACTACTGTCTGTGGAAGAGTGCCAGCTCCAGGTGAACATTGTTTCCATGCTCAGGATCCTGTTCCTGCCTGTCATGTCCAGCGGTATAGGTTATATTACAGAAAAAATATGGTGAATTTTTTTTAAAATGACAAATAATAAAATGTTACTTAGTCCATAACTCATTGCAATAGTAATAACAATATCTAGAGAGATGATACTGAGTCTGTGCAAGGAAAATTGTCTATTACCATCTGGATAAAAGCAAATCAAATGACAAATATAGACATTGGAAAGTGGCAAAAAAGATCAAAACTCTTATGCCGAAAAAGAGAAAATAATATTGTATTGCCTTGTTACCACACACGAGTGTTTGCGTATGCCCGGCCTACTAGCCACACATCCATCAGAGTGGTTGTTCACGTAAGCCTAATGCCCCTATTTTGGGCCACATACAATGGGTTAATAGGCTGTAGTGACTGCACCTATTTCCTAATTCCTTGAATTTGGGGATATTTTTTCTGATGCTATTAATATCAATAATGTTATTATTATGGATCATCTATGTGTAAACACAATTAATAAACTAAAATAACAGCAGATATGGTATGTATGTCATGTTATCTACAGTCTTTGTAGATAACTGTTTGTTTCCATAGATATTCCCCGATGGATGGCTAGAATAAATATTTTCAAATATATAAATAGTGTATAGCAAAAGAAAACAAAAGAGTAATAGTTTAGCTTTGTGTTGAATGTAAGTTTTAAAAGTCAATATAAACCCTACTTTTCACCACAGAATTTTAAAAATAATAATAAGATGGTGTAGCATGGCTAAAGCAGTTTATCACAGCAGCAGGTTGTTAGATATAAATGTATTTTAATTAAAGAGTAAAAGAAATTCCATATAGACAAAGACTTTTTGAAGAACATTTTGGAAGTCTGTAACATTCTAACATGAAAGATATCTAAAAAATTGGAACAGGTAAACAATGCCTCACTGCCTTTCAGAGCTAAATGAGATCATAGTCTTATCTCTGTAATTAAGATAATATGATGTTAGTAAGAGTCAGTAAACAATTAGACAATTTTAGAAATTTTCAGTTTTTTATATCTAAAAATAAATATTTGTTCAGTTTTCAGAAAAAAATCTTAATTTGAGATCTTGATCACAAAGGAGTAGGAAGGTAAATAGAAGTGAAAACTCCCCAAATTAGGAAATTGTAAAAACAAGGAAGACATTCCTCTTATGGTATCAGAAAATATGTCCTCACGTTTAGCCTAATATATTTATTATTGTTCTTGTTTTTGTTTATAGCAGGTAAAAATATCTAATGCAAAGAGATCTTTTTATCATCTTTCTCCTTTTTTGTAACTATTTTACTATCATTGTTATGTAGTGATTAATTTTTTTTTTCTTATTCTTTCTTTTAGAATATGGTGCACCTGATAGACATAACACAGAATCAGAAAAGTCAAAGCGCGAAAACCAAAATTGAGTTAAATCATACCCACGCACCGAAAGAACCCAATTGTCAAGTCTTCCTTCCCACACCAAAAATCTCCAATCAAGAGATCTAAACGCCACTTAATTACCACACTCATAATAACCCTTAGCTACTGACCAACAAAGTATATACAAAAGTTTGCACACCTTTAAACCTAAAATTCATCAATTATGTATTCCTCCTCAAATATACCATTTTCAATATATATAAATAGCATATTTAACCATATATACTGATATGACTGAGAAAGTACATTTTCACCCCAGCAAATCCGGCAATAATAATCCTCATGCTATAAATTTGGCCATAATTTCGTAATGTATTTTTTCATATTTCAATAATAATAAATTTCTAGCATTATTACCATACAAATTTTGTAAACAAAATGTTATACTATTATTGCCATAATTTATTTTCTTTGTTTTGACCTCTCTTTATTTATTTATCAAGATTCTTTATTTTGTGTGTTTTTGTTTTGTTTGGTTGTTTTGTTTGTGTTTGTGTGTTTTGGGAGTTTTGTGTTCTTGTTGTTGTTGTTGTTTTGTTTTGGTGTGTGTGTGAGTGTTTTGTGTTGTTCATAATAATATAGGTGTTATAATAATATATATTAGTTGTTTTATTATTATATATATATATATATATAATATATATTATAATAAAATTATATATATATATAACTATTATTATATATATATATGTATATATTATAAATGTTTATATTATAATTAAATATATATATTATTGTAATAATATATAGTACCTACATATACATAACATATACATACACACACAACATCACACATCCATACACACACACACATATATTATATATAATATATATATATATAATATGTATATATATAATAAATATATATAATAGATATATAATATAAAAATATATATATATATATATTATATATGTACATATGAATAAATATATATATATTATGTATATATATAATAACATACATTATAATATATATATCTAATATATAATAAAAATATATATTTATATACATAATATATATATATATATAAATATATATATATATATATAATACATACATATAATATATATTATATATATATACATATATACATATATACATTTTCAGTATATAAATATATTTATATATATATCTATATAAAAATATATATATATATAAATATTATTCATATGTATTATATAAGTATACGCCTATTGGTATATGAATAAATGTATATATTATATATGTATATATTATAAGAATAATATAATAATATATATGTATGTTATAAATATAAAAAAGAACATTACATATCCCAAACATCACATATACATCTACATCTACATACACATACATACAACGACATAACAACACACACATCCACACCCATACCCATACATACCCATACAACACAACAACACACAAACTCACAAACGCACAGAACCACCCATACACACATACACACATACAACTCCCCAAACACCCCCATCCACACATCCTCACATACCCATACTCCATACACACATACACCCCTACACCCAACACACATACACACATACACACATACACAACAACACACATCACACACACTACACACCTACCCACCACATACTCACATCCTCACTACACAACATACACACAACACACTACAACACATACACACATACACACAACACACATACACATACACACACCCACAACACCCACACAAACACACACACACACACACCCACACACACACACACACACCCACACACACACACACACACACACACATCCATACACACACACACACATCTAATATAAGTATAAATATATAAATAAATAATATATAAATATATATATTATATAATTAATATATAATATATATATATGTATATATGTATTTATTATAAACACACACACATAAAATATAAAATATATATATATATATATATAAATATATAAAATATATATATATCTAAACTTATTAAAAAATTATAAATGTAAAATTATATATGTATATAAATATTAACTATGTTATATATGTATATGTTATAAATGTATATAATATATACATAATAAGTATAAATTATAAATGTATATATGTATAATATAAGTATATATGTATATATTATATAAGTATATATTAGAATGTATAATTATATATGGTATATTTATAATATGCAAATATATATGTATATATAAGTATATAGGTATATATATATAAGTAATATAGACTGTATATATAATATATGTAACTATATAAATATATTATATATTAATATGAATATATATTATATTTATGTAAAATATATAAATATGTATATATATGTATATATATATAATTATATATAAATTATATAATGTATAAAATGTATATTGTAATATATATGTATATATATGTATATATATGTATATATATATATATAATATATATAGATATAAATATATAATTAAAAAAATGTAATATATATTATATATAAATATTATATAGATATATATATATATATATATAATCTATATAATATAATATATATATATAATGTATAACTAAGTATATTTAGTATATATATATATAGTAATAAATATATATATATATACTTGTATATATGTATAATTAATATATTAATAGTAAATATATATATATATATATATACAAAAAATATATAATATATATATATATATATAATTATAAATTGTGTTATCTATAATAATATATATATAATAATAATATATATAATATCAATATATATTATATATAAAATTAAATATATATATATATATATATATATATATAGTAAATTAATGTATATATATAGTATATGTATGTATAAATATATATATATATATGTATAAAATAATTAAATTATTTATATATATTTATATATATATATATAATATATATATATATATATAATATCTAATATAATATATATATAATAATTATTGTGTTTGGTGAGTGTGTTCTTGTTGTGTGGTGCAAAATAAAATATATATCTTGTTTATATAAAATATAATAGATATAATTAAATAATATATATATATATATTATAAATATATGTTTGTAAGCCAGTTTATAAACATATACATACATATACAAATAATACATATACATATACATACATATACATATACTTATACATACATATACATATACATACATATATATACATACATATATATACATACACATACACATACATACACACACATACACATACACATACATTCATACATACATTCAATACCCTACTTACATTCATCAATCATTCATTCATTCATTCATACACACACACACACACACACACACACAAAACACACACACACACACACCACACACACAGCTACACAATGCATACCATGCATTAACACATACACATACACAAACACATACACATACATTTTAATATATATATAATATATATATATATATATAAATATAAATAAATATAATTTATATTATATAAATGATAATGTATATATATAATGTAATGTAAATTATATTAATATATATATGTAATTATATATATATATAGATAAATATATATATATATATAATATATATATATATATATATTATAAAATATATATATTTAATATATATAAATAAGTTATATCTATATATTATAATGTAAATATATATGTATGTATATATATATATAATATATATATAAATAATAATATATATATATATCTATTTATATATTGTATATATAATATATAAACAAGTATATATGTTATATATATATATAATTATATATAAATATATATGTTTATATATAAAGTAATAATATATAATAAGTATATATATATATTATTATATATATTTAATATGTATATATATTTATATATATATTAAATATATATATATATTTAATATAATAAATAATATATGTATAAATATATATATGTATTATATATATATATTATAAAATATATAATATAATATATATATTAATTATATATATATATATATATATATAGTATATATATATTATGGTATATATATATAATATATAAGTAAATAATATATGTATAATATATATATATATATATATATTATAATATATATATATATATATATAAATATAAAATATATATATTATATAAATATTAAGTATATAAATATATTATATATATATATTATAATAATATTATATATATATATGTATATATATATGTATATAATATATATGTATATAATAAATTTATATAATAAATTATAATATAATTGTATATAATAAATGTATATATAATATTATATATATATTATATATATAAATAAGTAATATAAATAAATATATATATATATGTATATTATATAATTTATATATAATATATATATAATATATAAATATAATATATATATACATATACATATAAACATATAACATAATATACATAAATACATATATACAATATATACAATTATATAAGTAAATAGTATAATTATAAAATATAAATATATATATATATCTATATTAAATATAATATATATATAAAACATACATACATATATATATACATATATCATATACATTATATAATATAATATATATACATATATATAATACATATATACATATTATATATTCTCATATATACATAATAAATAATACATATCAACATATCTATATACATATAACATATATTATTTTACATATATACCTATATATTTACATCTAACATATAAATAAATTACATATATACATATAAAATCTTTACATATATACATAATACATACAAAATATTTACATATATAGATAACATATAATATATAATATAATATATATATATACATAAATACATAAAAAACATATATACATAGATATACATATAAACATATATATACATATATAATACATATTATATATTATAATACATAGATATATATAATACATATAAAATAATATATACATAATAATATATATATATACATCTATATAATATATTTATACATAATAATATATATAAATATATAAATAATATATATACTTATATATATATATATAACATAATAAT